TTTTTAAAGGAAGGCCATTTCCTCAGGTCCAACTCTAAGGAACTTGCCTAATAGAGGTGGGAGTGACTTAAGAACTAAGAGTTCTCAGTGTGTTTGACAGTTTGCTCCTTTCTTTCTCTGATAAGATAGTAACTGTCCCTAGTGAAGCCCCAGCAGTGCTCCAGCCAGAACCCAGGCCCTAGCAGGCGTGTGAAGCTGCTCGCACTTGTACTCCGCTTGACCCATTTCACGCTGGGTGACAGCAGGGCCTTCCTGAGATTGCTGTCACCATGCCTGCCTCTCACCTTCCCGAGACTGGCCCACATAGGAGTGTTTTGTCAGACGCTGTCATGGAGGTCAAGGAGGAGGGGGAAAAGGGAAGCAGATGCTGAGGCCCCAGAGGACATAGTGAGAGGGAGCTGATTCCCGAGGTGCCATGAGTAAGGACACTACCCTGTCTTCTAAATTACAATGAGCCCCATGCCCAGCCCAGGAGCCAGGAGGTATTCCTGCTCCTTGGGTGGGAATCAGTGTGTCCTACCCCAACAGAGTCCTGTTTGTTATTGGCAGCCAGTTCTTAGGGAGTCCAAGTTATATTCCCACAGAGGAGGGCTGACCTAGAGATGAGGCCCTCCTTCCTTAGACCCTGGGTCTGTGAAGTATGATGGGCAGTTGTGTGTGAGCCATCTGTCCATTATGATCTGGCTTTTGGCTTTTTTTTTTTTTCAATACGGAAGGAGGAAGATGGTATGAAGCTTGGATCAAAGGCAGGGTTGTGTGTTTTTCTTAAGTATGTTTTTATTGATTTTAGAGAGGGAGAAAGAAACATCCATTGGCTGCCTCCTGCATGCCCACTACTGGGGATCAAGCCAGCAACCCCGGGCATGTGCCTTAACTGGGCATTGAACTGGCAGCTTCTTGGTGCATGGGATGACGCTCAACCAACTGAGCCACACCAGCCAGGGCTGATCTGGCTTTTTGTTGAGATGTATCAATGGGTCCAGTTCCTCTGTGATGGAAGTATGGGCCTCTCCAGCCCTCTTCCAAAGATGATGTAGAATGAAAGACTGAGTTAGCCAAACTGGCTAAGCAGCTGCAACATGTGCAATATTGGTGACAACTGAAGAAGGTTAGATTGTGTTGCATTTTAAGTTTCTACCATCATAGGAACCAGATCTTATAAGCCCTTAGACCAGGGGTCGACAAACTTTTTGACTCGAGGGCCACAATGGGTTCTTAAACTGGACCGGAGGGCCGGAACAAAAGCATGGATGGAGTGTTTGTGTGAACTAATATGAATTCAAAGTAAACATCATTACATAAAAGGGTACGGTCTTTTTTTTCAATAGTTTTATTCATTTCAAACGGGCCGGATCCGGCCCGCGGGCCATTGTTTGCCCACGGCTGCTCTAGACCCAAGCCTGAGCACGTCAGCTAAGACCACCCTTCAAGATGCCACCCATTAGCCTCACCTCTTTGATAAACTTCCCTAGATCCCGTTAATTTCACTGTCAGAAACAGAACCCCACCACTTACAGTAGTGCTGCTACCTTCTGGATTCTGAGAACCCAACCCTTAGACTCCTGCAGCGTCCCCTTCTTTCCATCCAGTGCAATGGATAGTAAGAGGTAGGCATTTGGCTAAGGCAGCTCATGTATTAAGAATAAATTTACAGCCCAGCTGGCATGGCTTAGTGGTTGAGCGTGGACCTATGAACCAGGAGGTCTCGGTTTGATTTCTGATCACAGCACATACCCGAGTTGTGGGCTGGATCCCCAGTGTGGGGCATGCAGGAGGCAGCGATCAATGATTTTTTTTCTCATCATTGATGTTTCTATCTCTCTCCCTCTCTGAAATCAATACAAATCTATTTAAAAAATAAAAAATATTTAAAAAGAAATTAACAGATTTTTAAAGTCAGTTTTTCTCAAAAGAAGCATAACTGAATGATGAAACCAGTTTTCTTTAATTTTTTTTTTTTTAATAGGGCTGAGGCTTCAAAGACCTCAGGGACTTCTTTCAGTACTCAAAGAAACCTACACCCTGGTGATGGCACATAGGGACTGTTTTCTTGCTCTAAGTCTGAATGACTGCCAAAAAGGAAGGCAAAGGTAGAGCAGTTGGATCTCTGGCTCTCCCCATAGCTTCTGATCTCAGACCTTCATAAACTCCTTTCTGAGCCCAAGGACAAAGCTCACTTGAACAAATGATTTTGAGTCATGAATGAAAACTCTTGCTCTTTCCACAATGAGAAAGAATTCAGAGATGGACAGGTAAGCAAGCACTTCTGTTTTGGGGGAAACGTTTGGTGTGGGATATATCATTAATAGTAATAAAAGCATGTATCAAGAGAGTGTGGAACTTTATGTGTAGGAAAAGCCCTCATTATCGTTCTCTTTGTTCTATTAGAAGAAGCTTCTATTCACCTCTGGGTCGGTTGCCTTTCCTGAGATCTTATTTTCTTAGTGGGTTATGGGATTTGAGTTTGGATTTGCTTGGTAGGAGAATTTCAGTGAGGAATCTTCCTAGACATTTGTATTTCATTGATTTTTATTTCATTGATTCGGCCTGATTATCCTCAGGACTCTTGGTTCAGTGTGACCTATCTCTGTGCAAGTCTTATCTTTCCCACTGCCTTGCCTAGAAATGTATTCTTAGAGGGAGGAAAGGAGAAAGAGATCGAGATTGATTTCTTGTTCCACTTACTTATGCATTCATTGGTCGATTCTTGTATGTGCTCTCACCAAAAAATGTATTCCTAAGTGGAGCCTGTAGGATTCAGTTGTTGGAACTAGGACAAAGCCTTTTTGCTTTGGTGGTTGCCTTCACTGAATTAAGACAGGTGAACAGCCGAAACCGGTTTGGCTCAGTGGATAGAGCGTCGGCCTGCGGACTGAAGGGTCCCGGGTTCGATTCCGGTCAAGGGCATGTACCTGGGTTGCGGGCACGTCCCCAGTGGGAGATGTGCAGGAGGCAGCTGATCGATGTTTCTCTCTCATCGATGTTTCTAACTCTCTATCTCTCTCCTTCTTCTCTGTAAAAAATCAATAAATTATATTAAAAAAAAAAAAAAAAGACAGGTGAACTGTATTCCCAAAGGGAAGTCTTTGGACACTGGAGGGGACTGAACTGGAGGGGGAAAGGAAGGATGAAATGAACCCTGAGTACACAGACCCCTGCAGGGAGTTGTTCAGCATGGTGAATCACCAGACATTTTTTAAAAATATATTTTATTGATTTTTTAACAGAGAGAAAGGGAGAGAGATAGAGAGTTAGAAAGGGATAGAGATAGAGAGGGATGTGCCCGCAACCAAGGTACATGCCCTTGACCAGAATCGAACCTGGGACCCTTCAGTCCGCAGGCTGACACTCTATCCACTGAGCCAAACCGGTCAGGGCCACCAGATATTTTTGATAACGTATTTTGTGCCTAGTACTATGTGAATGAGTATGGGAAACATAAAAGAAGTATAAGTGAAGGTCCTTACACTCAAAGCAGCAGATTCTGATTGGGGAGACAGGCCTTGGCAGAGAAACCTGTGGCTTTTGGACTTAAGGTAAGTGAGATGCCATTGTAGCCCCAGTTGGTAAGATAGGCCACCTTTAGGAGGTAGAACTGATTTTGAAGGGAATAGAGGACACAGAGAAGTTGGAGGTAGGTGTGTATTCTAGAGGAAAATCACATGACCCCAGAAATAGAAGTGAGAGTAATTACAATAGTGTGTTCATTGGGTTGACATGGGAAATACTAGTTCTTAGGCATCAAGAGGCCAGCTATGGAGGAGTTGGCTTAGTTGTGATGTGTTAGGGCGTCCATTCTCATCTCCCAGGGATAAAAAAAAAATCAAATCTGATTTTAAGGAGTATTAGCAAAAATATGTAGGAAGGATTAGAGTAGTGGGATAATCTAGGATTATAGGGCTTTGACTTCAGCAGTGATTCCTTTATTAATCATTTTCCTTTGATTATTATTTTTTATTCTACAGAAAATAACCCATTGACATAATTCAAAATTCAAAACATACAGAGTATATGCTATGAAAAAATTGCCTGCTAGTCCTAGTTATGAAGGATTTGGCTCAGTGGATAGAGTGTCAGCCTGTGGACTGAAGGGTCCCGGGTTCAATTCCAGTCAAGGGCACATGCTGGTTGTGGCTTGATCCCTGGCCCTGGTCAGGGTGCATATGTGGGAGGCAACCAATTGATGTGTCTCTCTCACATTGATGTTTCTCTCTGTCTCTCCTCCTCCTTTCCACTCTCAAAAAATCAATGGAAAAATATCCTTGGGTAAGAATTAACAACAACAACAACAAAAAATGGCTGCCCTAGCTGATTTGGCTCAGTGGATAGAATGTCAGCCTGTGAACTGGACGGTTCTGGGTTCAATTCTGGTCAAGGGCACATATGGGTTCAATTCCCAATAGGGGGTGTGCAGGAGGCAGCTGATCAATGATTCTCTTTCATCATTGATGTTTCTATCACTTTCTCCCTCTCCCTTCCTCTCTGAAATCAATAAAAATATATATATTTTTAAAATTGCCTTCTACCCTGTT